TACTCTGTGCTACGCCAGTGCTTACCTTGCTCCTGGAGACCCGGTCCCTCTTGGGAGGGTAACAAGGGAAAGTGTTCAGTGCAGATCAGTGAGTAAGCACAAGCCCGCCCGTGCTTACGTTGCATGATATGAAGGTTCTATAATTAAGGAAATATAATTTTCACATTCAATTTGATATTTAATATTTTTCACTGTCTTCCTTTGGAAATTGAATTTCTTAGAGTCTTCTTAATGATTAGTAATATCAGAATGCATCCTTTTCCCCTCAGTGAATTCATTCACAAATGGAAAGTATAAAATTATGTTTATTAGGTTTAGTATTTTATGGAATATCATATAAAGTTAATTCACATTAATTCTGATACTAACACTAACATTAAGAAAAGATATGTGACAAAAGAAAAAACATTTTTCTAAGATAATAATAATCCATAATATTTATAGCATCTTCATGATTACCAACAGTGACAGTGAATGGTATATATGAATATCATGGTCTAATTATAAAACCTCAAAGATGTGGTCTCTGGTTTCAAAGCATTTCTAAAGCTATATGTATTTAAGACAAATTTTGTAAATGACCTCTGAAAATCTACAGATGTATCTTTTGACACATATTATTTTTATAAACCAAAAAACCAAACCAAACTCACTGCCGTGGAGTCAAACCCAACTCATAGTGACCCCTCCTTGGGTTTCCAAGGTGATATCACTATGGAAGTATATTGCCCAACCTTCTTTCTGAGGAGTGGCTGGTGGGTTTGAACTGCCAACCTTCTGGTTAGCATCAAATAGTGACTTTTAAATATCCTGCCAAGTATTAACTTATTTTTATTCATTTTAGATTAGGATTTTGTAACTTGTGTTTCTAACAGGCAGTGGTGGTTCATTGGTAGAATTATTACCTTCTATGTGGGAAAAACAGATTCGATTTCTGGTCAATGTACCTTACGCTCAGTCACCATCCATCTTTAAGTGGAGGCTTTCATGTTGCCATGATACTGAATTGGTTTCAGTGGACTTTACAGACGAAGACTAGGAAGAAAGGGCTGGTGATCTGCTTCCAAATATCTGCCAGTGAAAACCCTATGGGTCACAGTGTGCATGGGGTCCCCATGAGTTGGTAGATAACAACTTGTGTTTCCAGATAACTGAATAATTATTTAGTTTATTTCATATGTTTAAGAATAAAAAAAAAACTTAATTAGTAATAATGTTAGTGTTATTATTGTTGGCATTATTATAAACTTGAAAAGAAGGGTGATGCACAACAATTAAAAAGCACACTATCTAATCTAATCCTTGTGATTTTTCTTTGTTGTTTCCATTTTCAGAGAGAAACAAAATAGCATGACATGAAATATGGCTCAGTTTTATTACAAACGAAATGTGAATGCCCCCTACCGAGATCGCATCCCTCTACGGATAGTCCGTGCAGAATCAGAACTCTCACCATCAGAAAAAGCCTATTTGAATGCTGTGGAGAAGGGAGATTATGCAAGTGTCAAAAAATCCCTAGAGGAAGCTGAGATTTATTTTAAAATCAATATTAATTGCATTGATCCTCTTGGAAGAACTGCTCTTCTCATTGCAATTGAAAATGAGAACCTGGAGCTCATTGAACTACTCTTAAGCTTTAATGTTTATGTTGGAGATGCGCTATTACATGCTATCAGAAAAGAAGTCGTCGGAGCTGTTGAGCTGCTACTGAACCACAAAAAGCCAAGTGGGGAAAAACAGGTACATAAATATATAT